CGGTCTCGACAATCTGCCCCGTTGGAGGGAGCTCTTCGAACTCCAATGCATAGCCTTCGTCGACAATCTTTAAAACCCATGCATCTGAGGTGATATTTTCCCATGCAGGGAGAAAGTCTGTCAGACGATCCCCGAAAGGTGTCAAGCCGGATGGAAGGATGAGGGCGGGTTCCATTGGGAGGGACATGGGAACAGCATCTGTAACGGAAAAATAAACGGTACCGTCCGCCAGCCCGTCAAATTCGACGTCTGGCCTGGTTGCCTCCTGAGGTCTGCCTGGAGCGTGAGCGCTGCTGTTGCTGCTGACGCCTCTGTTGCTGCGGCTGCTGTGGCTGGGTCTGCAGAGGAGACTGTGCGGGACGGGTTGGGTGCCGGTACTGGATGGTGCGGTACGGCACCGTGTGTCTGCGCTTGTGTTGGTACCACCTGGTACGTTGCGCCTGACCCTGGTTTTCGAAGCCACACTTTGAGGCAAGGGTTTTAAATTCATGGTTGGACTTCAATTTATCGTCCGTGCCCGCATTAAAGAGTCCTAGGGCATCGAACGGCAGATCTTCAATCACTTGTCTTGACGAAGTGGAGAGGCCTGAAGATCGTAGCCAGGCATGTCGTCTGATTGCCACGGCATGGGCAATCATCTTTCCGGCGGTGTCCCCAGTATGCTTGGCCATCTGCATCTGGTGATGCGCCAGCGAGTGGGCCTCCTGAGCGAGAGTTGACATGGCGGCACGATCCTCTGCCGGCATTCTCTGGAAGAGCGGCTCGGCCTTTTCCCATAGAATCTGTTGGTAGGCCCCCATGCACGCTCCGTAGTTGGCCATACGGGCCAGCAGCAAGGCACCCGAGTAGAGCTTCCTGCCCACGGCATCGAACCTCTTCCCCTCGCGGTCGGAGGGCGTAGAGGATTGGCGGCCGAAACCCTGAGCAGCCTTCACGACCACCGAATTCGGGTCGGGATGATGCTTCAGCCACTCCAGCCCCTCATCATCGGTCCTGTACCAGGCCTCAATCTTCCTCGACGTCGGTGGGATGGACGACGGGGTCTTCCAGGAGCCCTGGATCACCTCCAGCAGGTAGGGGAGGAAGGGTAATAGAGTGGCTGGCGGAGCTTCCCTCTGCACCCTCTTGAAGACCGGGTCGGTCACTGCCTTGGAGGACTGCTTGACCTCCAGGCCCAGAGTCTCGGCCATACGAGCCATTTGGTCGGCGAAGGCTCGGACATTGTCGGTCGGGGAAGGCGGATCCACCTCATAGGCATCATGGGTGGGAGACTTTTCGATTCCAAGGGACAGCACCGACCCCGAACGCACCGATCCCGGCAGTTCGCCCTCTTCCTCCTCGTCATCAGGAGGCAGGGAACGTGGGGGTGGAGATGAAGAGGCATCCCGGCTCTGCAACTGAAGAGGCGGCGGTGGAGGGGCCTTCGAAGTTGAAGCCCGAATTGCGCTGGCTAGCCTCATGGTCTGCCTACCCCTTTCCGGGGTCTGAAGTACCGACTGGGTCTCCTGTATGGATGTCACAGTTGTCAAAGAGGCCACCGTCGGGAAAAGTTCCTGTCTCGCCGTCAGAAGCCGAGAAGAAGCTTCGATGACCGTGTCTACCGAAATCTCAGGGGACACGGGCTGCTCAGCAGGCAAAGGAGGAGGAGAGACAGGCTGCGGCTCTTGAGCAGGCTGTGGAGCCGGTTGCGATACGGTAGGCCGTACCGGTGACGATCTCGCCGAGGAGGAGACCGAGGAGGCAGTGCGCCGGTGAGAAGATGAAGAAGGTGATGGTGGAGGAGGCATCGTCCTCTTCCGCTTGGCGGGAGGCTGTGCTGTTTTAGCAAGAGACTTGCCCGGGGTGGGCGGTACGGGAGATGGGGAGGATGCACGTCGCGCCTCTTCCTGAGACCGACGGAAGGCGATTCGCACCGCCGTAGAAGATGGCGGCGTCGATGTCGACCTCGTGGAGACAGCCGACCTCACAGATGCCACAGAGCTTGTGGAAGAGTGTCGTATGCGCACGGTCTCGGTAGTGACCGATCGCGGAGGTGGCTGCTTCGCGGGCTTCGCAGGCCGAGGCGCCTTAGAAGCCATCGACGTCGAGGTCTTTGAGGCCGTCGACATTACAGCTCTTGGCCTCTTTTGGGCCACCTTCTTCCGACGGGTCGCGGCCGGTGCCGAGGAATCAACAGCAGCCGCTGTCGAGGTCGAGGGCCGGGACACCGTGGCCGATGTCGATGTCGACGCTGATGTCGAAGGTGCCGGAGCCAAAGCCTGTTGATACAAGAGGTACCGAAGACGATGCTCCCGGTTCTTTCTGGACTGTGCCGTCAAGGCCTGGCAATGACGACACGTCGATGTGATGTGCGCCTCGCCGAGGCACAGAAGGCAGAGTGAATGACTGTCCGAGTCAGGGATCTTCTTCGGACATCTCGAACACTTTTTGAAGCGAGTTGTTGACATAATCCGGTCAACAACTCGATATCGAAGAGAAGAAACGCTATCCAACACTATCCAACAATATCACTAACTATCCAAACCAACACAAGAAGCACCGAAGTGAGCCGTGCGGCGGAAAGAAAGGAATTGGAGCGGCGCCGCGGGGCGCC